AGAATTAAATGGGGAAGAAAAGTGAAAGGGAGAGGGAGAGACAGACAGTGATGGAATATGAGAGACAAAGAGAGGGAGAGACAGAGACACACTGGAAGAGAAAGAGAGCAGCGAGCCAGGCAGACAAAGACAGGGGATCTGATTCTCCGTTTTCCAGCTTGTGCACTCATTTGACTAGGGTAAAGTGAGGGCACAGTGGGTGTAAAATACCACCCCAGCGTTCCCCTTTGTACTGGTGTATATGTCTGCACAGGGCAGCGGAGCATCCGGCCCACTGTTTCATTTCGCGCACCTTTGTCTCTCTCTGGAACCATCAATGTTTACCTAATTTGACATGCAGTGCTGACACCTAGTGGCGGCAGAGGGGGTAGTAAAGGGAACCAGCAGGGTTGGGCGGAAAGGTCTGGTGTTCACGGGAGCTCTCCTGGCACTTTTGCACGGTGACTCTGGCACCGAGGCAGCTCTCCTGGAACTAGCATCACCAGGGCACTGGTATTCTTAGGGTTTTGTTGTCTAACCCCATTCAAAGCACATGGAGATGACCCGGTGCCGTGGTGAACACACTGAAGCACTGTCTGCCATATAGTGTTTCTGCTGTTACTTCAGCTGTGGGAGACCACAGGTGGGGAAAGGCCTGACCATTCCCAGTGCAAGTGCAGCCACGGTTACCTGACTCTGGGAGGCATGTAACATTGTGGGGAGTGAGCCACTGCAGCAGCTGGTCCCCATTTGGAGCCACCTTTTAAGCTGTCTGCAGAGATCCTCTCCTACTGCTTGTGCGGGGACACAGACTCCCCAGGCAGGGTGGCCCCTGGGAGGCAAGGCAGTTCCCAGCCCACAGAGAGGACATGGAGAGATGGGGCCAATAATTGTGTCCTCTTCTCAGCCTGAACAACCCACTGAGTCCTTTCGCTGCAGTCAGGTGAAGCCTTTGGCATCAGTGAGGTCATGGGACTGACGATCCTGGCGGCCGACACATCTCTGCCTGACCTCATCACCAGCATTGTCATCACCCAGAAAGGTCTGGGGACACGGCCGGGCCCAGCTCCATCTTCGACACCATGGTTGTGTAGGCAGCCAGAAAAGGCTGCGGAGTGGCTGTGGCCTGGCACAATGCAGCTCCCTCTGCTGGGGCTTTAAGTCCACTCTGACTCCTACCATCCAAGGGGCCCAAAGTGCTTTACACCAGTCCCTGAGTTCAGCTTGGAAAGAGACAGCTAAGGGGAGATATGATTGAGGTCTATAAAATCATGACCGGTATAGGGAAAGTAGATAAGGAAGTGTTGTTTACTACTTCTCATAACACAAGAACTAGGGGTCACCAAATGAAATTAATAGGCAGCAGGTTTAAAACAAATAAAAGGAGGTATTTCTTCACCCAACGCACAGTCTGCCTGTGGAACTCCTTGCCAGAGGATGTTGTGAAGGCCAAGACCATAACAGGGTTCAAAAAAGAACTAGATAAGTTCATGGAAGATAGTCCATCAATGGCTATTAGCCAGGATGGGCAGGAATGGGGTCCCTAGCCTCTATTTTCCAGAAGCTGGGAATGGGCGACAGGGGATGGATCACTTGATGATTCCCTGTTCTGTTCATTCCCTCTGGGGCACCACTGGCCACTGTCGGAAGACAGGATACTGGGCTAAATGGACCCTTGGTCTGACCAAGTAGGGCCATTCTTATGTTCATCCCTTGTCCCTCCCAGATGGCAACAACTAGCATGTGGCTGCCCTATCCTCTGCTGGGTCACGGCCAGAGAGTGTCGCAGTAAGGGATGGTCCCCAGATGGGAGAGGCAGGGCCAGATGGAGATTGGCGGTGGTGGGGGAAGGGGATGGAGGGAGACAGAAAGGGAGAGCAGTAAAGGGAAGGAGAGGGGGAAGTGTAGCGAGAGAGCTGGAGAGGTATAAATCCAGGTACCGAGCTGCAGACCGAGAGTGGGGGGAGAGAAAGAGGATGGCTCTGAGCCGCCCTTGCCCCTCCCTGATGCTGGGCTGCTCCAGGGGCTGCCATGACCGCTGACATAGTCCCCAGGGCTAGCATAGTCCCTGTTTTGGCTGTGACGTGTTCTCCGAGCCGACTCCATGGCGCTTGTGCTCTCTCTTCTCGCGTTTCTCCGCTATGCTGGTCAGCAGCCACAGCCTCTTCTGGGCCGTCACCCTCCTCTTCCTCATGCGGCTCTTCCTCGTCCTCTCAGTGGTGCTGGGTAAGGGGAGGATGAGCAGGCCTCTGGGGGGGCCGGCTGTTGGTGCTCTGCCTCCCCTTCCTCACTGTCAGCATCCCGCTAGAGAAGAGAATCCTGTTGTGCTGGACGCTGGCGTGAGGAGCCCAGTCAAAGCCAGGCTGCTTCTCGCCTCCAAGGAAAGGCAAAGAAACCGGGCGCTGTCCCTTTGTGAAATCGAATCCAGGAGAGCCGGCCCTTCCCTGCCGACGGGGGGGTTGGAGCGCAGGAGCTGGCAGAGCGGGTGGGAGAGTGTGCGCATGCTGGGGAGTGTGGCCTAGGGGTTCCAGCAGTGGATTGGTGTCCGGAGAGCCAACTGTCACAGACATGCTGCTTGACTTGGGGCAGGGCTGCTCGGTGCCTCAGTTTCACCATCTGTGAAACATAGAGAGTGACACTGACTCCTCTCTCGGGGGGATGTGGGGGGGTGTATCAGGTGGCTCAGTTCACATTCGGTAAGGGTTCTGCCAGAGGTGGGTTGGGGGCTTGCATTGTGTGTCTGGGGGGGCTTGTATTGGAGGGGACTAGAGAGGGCTTTAAATTAAAAAAAAAATGACTTAATGGAGATATCCTATCTCCTAGAACAGCCCTTGAGAGGTCATTGAGTCCAGCCCCCTGCCTTCACTAGCAGAACTAAGTACTGATTTTGTCCCAGATCCCTGGGTAGCTCCCCTCAAGGATTGAACTCACAACCCTGGGTTTAGCAGGCTAATGCACAAACCACTGAGCTATCCCTGTGTCAGAGAGGTGTGGTAGAGGGGTAGGTCTTATGTCAAAGTGGGCAACTGTCTCATGCATGATAACGGGTGCTGAGGTGCACAAGGTGGACTGTGCATGCACAGTAATTCTGACACCTACAAGCTAGCTAAGTCCCTGTCTAGACTAGGAAAATAGCTCACTTTTGAAAACATGTCAGGCAACATGTGCTTAACCACTAGTGTAGACAGGATTTAACACTTTTAAAACCTTGTAGCTGCTTATGGTCGAGCTCAGACTCCCCCTCCCCGCTCCCTAGAGATGCAAGGGAATTTGACAGTTGCTAAATCTTTCCCTCTGGTAGGGAGGGCCATGGAAAGGAAGATGCTGTCATCACTCAAGTTTCCCAGGCATGGGCCAACTCACTTCATTTAATAATAATAATACCGAGCACTTACATAATGCTTCGTATCAGAGCAAAACAAATCCTGGTTTGTGTATCTGACTTTCCAAACACCTGAGGCATGATTACCATCCTGAGCAATTACCCAGTGCTGTATGGCTTCAAAGCCCTGTGCAAACATTAATTAATCTTAACAATCGCTGGGAGGTGAGTCAGCAATATTACCCCCATTACCCAGAGGCTGGAACATAGACAGGTGAAGTAACTCACCCAAAGCCATAGATGGAATCACTGTCTCTCAGTAATTCCTGGCTCCAAGTCCTGTACTTAATCCAACCTCCCAGCTGGGCAGAGAGACTGATCCCTTTGTCACCTATAACTTTGATGTGCCTTATCAAAAACCAGCCGTCAGCTTTGGTGCGCCTGCAACACAGGGAGAGGGAGTGAGGGGCGGGAAGCTGGAGGGATTCCAAAGTTCAGAATTTATGAGAATGTCTTTGGTTTGGGAATCTGTGAAGCTTTCGCTCACCTGGGATTCTCTGGTTTGGGTTGGTTCATACCTGCTGCTAGATTCATAGATTCATAGATTCTAGGACTGGAAGGGACCTCGAGAGGTCATCGAGTCCAGTCCCCTGCCCGCATGGCAGGACCAAATACTGTCTAGATCAGCTCCTTGTTCTGTGAACACCTTGTGAAAGTGGACAGAACCTTCTTGGATATTGGGTTGATTGGAAATTGGGGTGGTAGCTCAGGGTAGATTTTGTGTGGTTAGAATTGGCTCCCCCATGGAGAGCAGAGAAATGGGTCTTAAAATAGCTCTGTGTAATCTGAGAAGGTCTTTTAGCTGGGGTGGGGGCACGGAGCTGGGGAGGTTACGTCTGGGAAATCAAGTGAACATATCTACGGAAGGATAAACCCAAAGTGCTCTAAGTATAGCTGGGTGGTGGATACTGTGTTTCTGATCCATTCCCTCCCAGATTCCTGACTTGGTACTGGACAGTGAAACGTAGGATTTAGAGAGGAAGAGAGAATCACTTTCCCGACCCACTTATTGGGTCAAATTCTGATCTCAATTACACCAGTGTAAAGCCAGAGTAACCCCAGTGGAGGTACATCAGTGTAATATTAGTCTGAGTAAGATCAGAATTGTGCCCATAGATGCAGTATCTTTCCTTCTGGTCCCAGCCACTGTGTAGCGTGGCTGTGGCATCCCACCACAGAGATGGCTGCATTGCTGCAGTGAGTGAAGGGAATTTTTCCGATGCGTGTATGGTTTGTAATTGTACAGAGCACTTTATGGCTAGCTGTACTGTTGGTTTAGGGCCACATTGGGCCTGATAGGATCTGGGCCCGTGATGGATGTGCTACTCAGTTGCACCCTCCATAGGAGGGACTCGAGAAGAGATTGCATCTCCATCCCTCCTGCAGAAACGTGGCATGCTGGGAGAATGCACTTAGAGAACACAGCATGACTGCATGTCCAGTTAAGCCTTTCATGTTAGCAGCTTCTCCAAGGATGCCCCCTATAGGGTTAGCAGAGCTACAGGTAACAGTAGAAGGGAGCAGCACCTGTGCTCAGGAGAGCTGCTAGGACTGCAATTATACCTGAGTCCTACCCAGGGTCAGTAAGAGGGAATGGCTCCTCGTGCCTTGCCCCTCTTTGGGCACCCAGTCATCATCTAGCACTTCGAAAACCTCGCCCTCTCAGGATCAGATGGCAGACGGAGGCTTTGGTGGAAATCTTTGTCCAAGTGACTCGCAGACAAGGGGTGTGAAGTTAGGTACAGAGATGTGTTCCGGCAATCATCAGTGTCTATAGCTTTAATACACAACACTCCTGAGAGGTATCATATACATCAATAAATAACAATAATGTTAATCATAGCAGCCCCATAGCCAGTTGCCAGCACTTTGGCTTCGGTTTTATTAGTGTGATTCCTCCAGCAGGGGTCACCCCCTCTCACTGGAGATCAGTGCACAGTGTGACCTCAGGAAAACATTGGATTCTTCCGACTGTGAAGACTTCACAGTCAGTCTCCAGCATCAGGCGCTGCACCCCAATCACCATGGTGACACCCAAACAGCCATTCAAAACAACACAGAGAGAGATTTTGGTATTTTAGCAGAAAATGGCTGTGCTCTATCACTCCTCCCCCTCCCAGTCCCAATATACACCAGGGATCTGAACTGCAGCACCTCGCCCTAACACCGTTTGTAAGGTGTCCTCAGAGCAAGATAGGGCAGTGCGATTGGCCAGGAGTCACTAGGCCAGTACTTCAGCTCCGGTTCAAAGGCAGGAATCTCGTACCGAGAATCGAAGTAGATAAACAAGGGACAGCAATAGAGGAGAGTGATGGATATCAGTACATGCCTGGCAAAGAAACAAAGAATGGGGGTGAGAAGCAGGTGGCAACACCAAAGCCAGTAAATCTTGCTCTCTGCAATGACACAGCCCCTGTCCTCATGATGGTGGAAAGTATTCCAGCCACACAGTAGTTGCCAGGATAGTGTGGTGTGGGTTTGTATGAAGAACACACTAGACCACCTTGCTGGACACAAACCAGGCCAGATTCTGGTGTAAATCCATGTGGCTCCATTGAAGTCAGTGGCCACTTAACACCATTGGAGGTCTTGGCCCAGTCATTACCCTCTCCCGATTCTCAAACCCAAACTCAGTCCATACTGAGGGAAGTCATGCTAGAGCCCTGAAAATGTGGAGGATGCAAGAACAATTCCAGCCACAGTGTAGCTAGATCAAAACCAAATGATCAAGAAATCATGTACTGTCTGGCCTTGTATGTTCTGGATTTCAGGGCCTGATCATTTGGATCTCCGGTCTCATAACATTTAGCTGTGCGGAAGGGGGGAATTTGGAGATGCTCCCTGAGCATAGAGTTTTTGAACAAACTGGCTGACCCACTCAGGCAGCTATAAATCCTGTGGAAGCAAATTATTATCCTTCTCCTTCATTGTCAGTTATGCAGAGAATCCAGAGAACATGACAGTTGATACAGCTCCCTGAGAAGAGATCCAGCATATGGAAAGCAAAAGGCATAGACTGCTATTTAATCAGAACAGTGTAAGTGAAGGTCTGCTTGTTAAGAATGCATTTGGCTAGTGCCAAGGACTTACGTGGTGTTTAATCAATTGTTAGGGCCGAATCTTGAGTGGTGCAAAACATGGACCGAGTTTTGCGTAAGTAAAAACTGAGGCCATGTCTGTACACACAGCGCTGCAGCAGCGCAGTTGTACCGATGCAACTGGACTGCTGCAGCATGTCTGGTGAAAAAGCTCTATGCCAATGGGAGAAAGCTGTCCCTGTCAGCATAAAAAACACCTCAATGAATGGCAGAAGCTATGTCGGTGGCAGAAACTCTCCTGCCAGCATAGCGCAGTGCACACAAGCGTAACTGATGTCGCTCAGGGGGTTGGAATATTCACACCCCTGCGTGACACAAATTATGCCGACATAGGCTGTAGTGTAGACAGACCCTGAGTAAAAACTGAATCAGGACCTCAGGATGCAGCCCTTATTGCAGAAAGTGTCAAATAACTAGAGCTGGAATTTCCATCCTGCAGGAAGTTTCACACTTCAGACAAAAATGTAGTTACAAACTGGAACAAAAAGTCAGAAGTGTGAGAGTTTCTGCAGAACGGAAATGGTTGAGAAAGTCCATTTTGGAAGAACTGTAAGGGAATGTTTTAAAACACTCTGGGCCAAGCCCAGGGACCCAGCTTCCCGGGAAGATGGCAGACCGGGGACCCAGGGACCCAGCTGTCTGGGGAGACTGGCAGGTGGGTGAGCTACCAGAAAGCCATCCAAGCTGCCTGCAGTGTTAACTGGGGACTTCACCTTGTATGGTCTTTTACAATATGTGTTAAATACAAATACTAAACAATCTGTTTCACCTTGTATTTAGCTGTGACCCTTTTGAGGCTTGAGCAAATGAGGTCGGTATACCTGTCGCTCAAGGGTGTGAAAAACCCACACCTCTGAGCGACATAGTTAAACTAACCTAGGCCCCAGTGTAGACAGCGCTAGGCTGACCAGAGAATTCTCCCATTGACCCAGCTACTGCACTGCCTCTCGGGGAAGTGGAATACCTACGCCAATGGGAGAACACTTCCTGTTGGAGTAGATTGTGTCTTCACTGAAGTGCTACAACGGAGCAGCTGCTCCGTTGCAGCGTTTTAAGTGTAGACAAGAGCTTTCCCAGACCGAAAGATGAGATCTGGGTAGCTCAAAAGCTTGTCTCTTTCACCAACAGAAGTTGGTCCAATAAAAGATATTCCCTCACCCACCTTGTCTCTCTGGTTTCCATAGAGAGTTTGAACAGAATCGACACGTTCCGGTGGAACGCTTCAATTCTGTTGAATCAGCTTATTCCTGACAGACAACTGCTCCTTCAGAAAAACGTCAACCAATTCGAGAAATAAAGATCGAGGCTGGGATTTTCAAAGCAGACTAAGAGAGTTAGGCACACAAATCCAATGGGATTTAGGGACCTGACTCCCTTGGGTTCCTTTGGAAATCCCAGCCTAAAAGAATTAAAAAATGAAGAATATAACTTTAAGGGATCATTTATCAACCCTTATATTGATTTCACATCACCATAGAGCTTCTCATGCCCCCCCCACACACACACACACACCCAAGTGCTTTCTGATCTCCTGAGCCCCCAGGCTGTCTCTGGGCATTCCATTCTGAAACCAGCAAGATGGATTTTCCCCTTGTGGAGTAACCTCATAGCGACTTCCCCACTGAGTCAAAGCAGCCCTGGAGAAGAAGCAGCCACTCTTACCAGAAACTGTGAAGGTAACAGAAGTTGATCCTCTGCCAAAATCCACAGAACCACTTGTCGCTTAACCAGCAGCTAATGGCTAGCACCCACCACATGACCATGGACGCAGCTATGCGGTGAACACGTGGGTTACTGCACCTGGGAGACAGGAGTGAGAGAAAGATTGATTTCTTGAGGTTAGGAGAAAATTGTCCTTTTGGTGTAAGATACATTTTTAAAAAGCAACAATTAGTTTTAATTTGCCAACCGTGATATATCAGAGCAAGACTGGGTTGCTTCCCATTGGAAATGGACAAACCACATTGTCCTGCTGTTCCAGACACTATTTTAGTTATGTAACTGGCAGTCAAGTATCAGGGGGTAGCCGTGTTAGTCTGGATCTACAAAAACAACAAGGAGTCTGGTGGCACCTTAAAGACTAACCCAGACTTTAAGGTCTTTAAGGTGCCACCAGACTCCTTGTTGTTTTTGTAGATACAGACTAACATGGCTACCCCCTGATACTTGACACCATGCAAGGCACTAAATTTAGCCGTATGGAGTGGAAATCCATCAACCTCAACAAAAAACTTGCACAGATACAGACAGACATCATCTAACTGGCAGTGTGCAGTGCATAATTTTTGCCAGGGCCGAGCCCGGGCACCTCTAGGCTTGGCAGTTCATAGTCCGGCCCCTCTGGGCTTGCTGCATCAGTTGTGAAAGTAAAAATATTGCTTGAGCCCCAGCATCTTTTTCACTCCAAATGAAGCACTGGTTTGGTGATGATGAAATGT